ATTTTGAGGGAAAAAAAAGACGTTTAAGTGCGCCTTATAGTCGTGAAAATACGGTATTTACTCCACATTGGTTGCAGTCCTGCTTTTGACTCTAAAATGATCTCTATGCCGCCCTGCTCAGGTTGAAAGGAGGGTACTGCATCTGATTGGTGTTTGCTTCCCAGTTATTGTATGAAGTCAGTTTAGGTCTAAAAAAACTAATGTACCACTGAGGGACAAGCAGCCCTTAATATACCAGATGACCAACAGATGTTCACCTCTGTGATACCTTCATGTTTTTGTCGCTGTCAATCCAACAACTTCTCCACCCTATGGGAATATGTCTATATTGATTTAATAATTATAGCTGCCACTCAACACTTTACACTAGAGCCACCAATCCCACACACATCTGTACACTGCTGTGCAGAATTGGAGAATGTGAGACGTTTCCTCTTATCGAATTCATTCATAAACATTTAGAGTAGTGTTGTAATCAAACCACACCAACCGAGGCTCTGGAGCGCAGAGACAAAGTCGAGACCTTTAGAGGCCAAGACCACGAGGTCTATAAAGGTCTGAACAAACCAGCTGTGTTCAAGTTTTTAATCTCTGATCCGATTATTATTATTTTTTCTTCCATGTCACACTGCGTAGAGAGAGGCTCAGACTAGGCAGGGTGGACAGATCTATGCACATTTTTTTTACTGCTGTCTCTGTGCTTTTCACAAATTAAAACAATTCCCCATATTTGACTTAAACAGATTATGAGAAGTTATTTTTTTTTTAAAAACAGTCGCGTTCTATAATGCAAAGCTCCACTTAGCGAATCTGTGCAGCATCTCAAGCAAGAACAGATGGAGAATGTTCATATTCCTATATTAAAAACATGAGATCCATGCCTAAAGTAGGACTTAAACAATTCTTCTGATTAATCGCGATCAAACATTGAAATAATTGTCAACTAATTTAGTAATAGATTACCGGTAATCATTAACCGGAGTGTAGAGACTCTAAAGCATGCTTTTAGTTGACAGAGAAACCCACTTAGTGCAGTAATTATAACAAAATTATAAATAAATATGCTCTATCCAGAACTCAAGTGGAAAAAGTTTTAGTTTCATCTGGTTTCATTTAATAAGAAATCTTTAAGAAACCTTTGGTTCTCCCATTATTAATTGATTTATCAAAAAATAATAATTGACATTATTATTATTAATCAATTTGCAAAATAATTGTTAGTTGCAGCCCTAGTATAAAGAAAAGGAAAATACGCAGTATTAAACCCGTGGGAATGTTTTTATCCTGGCTGAGGCAGCAAGGTGATTCTCAGACAGATCTGTGAAGTTTATCGAAGGTTTTCTTTCTTTTTTTTTTTTTATAAAGAGGTGAGAGATGCGTCGCGCCTCCCTGCTCTTTTTTTGTGATGCTCGAAGAGGATCACTATTTTACTTTATCTGTTTTTTCTCCATCTGAAGTTTTTTTTTGTCTTTTTCGAAGAGGTTGGTAAACTGCGCTTTCTGCCCCTCTATTTTAGTGAGGCTCAAAGAGAATCACTACTTTATCTGTTTTCTGTCCTCCTAAATTCCTATCATGGCTAAAGTATAGTTTTTTTTAATGTTTCATTCATTGCACAAGTCTGTCCCCCTGCTTACTATATATGCTCTGCGCGACTCTAAAACTGACCCCCTGTGCGATTAACAAGTTTTATTTAGTATTTTCCCCTAAAGCGGATGCAGTTTACTTTGTAACCACGTCTCTCTTCCTGTCAGACCCATTAAAACACTGAATTGCAACTGATAGTCCAACTAAAATAGACCTGGGCTCTATCTCAGTCAGACCTACGCAGCCCCCTTATGCAAAATCGTGTTGGATGTGTTCATCCCCATTGACTTTCAATGAGCGCTAAACTTCACAACCTCGTCCGACATAATTTTACTGTCGGATCAGACGCAAAATCAGATTCAGTGTGTTCTGGCCTTAAATGTCTTTGTTTTGTCTCTATACTAGACTCTCTGTTCTTGGTCTCTAGAGGTCTGGGTATTCTTTGTTTGAGGTGGTCTTGACTACAACACTAATTTATAAATCACACTATTTTCAATCAGTTTAAATTGAAATCAGATGCATGTATTTCTAGTAATTCATTTTCTGTCTGTTCTATATCAGTTGGTGGATCTGCAGGACTTTTCTTTTTTTTCTCCTATGTCACTTTTCATAATCGAAGTCTTAATCCGGGCAGCAGATTTAATTAAAGATGTGAAATCTGTAGCGTCCAGGGTGAGCCTGATTGATTCATCTCAGCTTGGAAATCTGAAGTTAAATTAGATCCACTGCATCTAGATTCTCTGTTTCGAAGCTGTTAAAACTGTAAATGTCCTAAAAATTCAACCCTTTCTTTTCTTTAGTTTCCTGCTCAGAGTAAAGCGGCTCCTGACGAAAGGAAGGTGTTTGGTCTTTGGGAGACAGGCGAGGACTTCGATAAGGTAACGTTTCCTCACTGTGCGACTGTTGACCTGAGTATTAGCCTTATTTGAAATGTAATGGGTTCCCTGGGGAGGCAGGGAAAGTAGTTTTTTCGTAAACAGTCATAAAAAATGTACTCATCTCTAAATTCCTTGAAGATTTAGGTTTAAAATATATTACATATGGGGACCACTATCAAGTGTATTTTTGTGTGTGTGTAACGCTGGATTCTTGTTTTTTATACATGGTTAATTTCTGCGTAATAGGACATCCATGCATTCTTCTTTGTTTTTGATTTTTGCACCATTTTTGTCACCATTCAGTTGAAATATATTCGTACCAAAAAACAATAAGTAAATCAAAAAATTTGGAATAAAACGGGTGACCGGACTAAAAACGTCATGTAAACAGAACTTTTCTATGAAATCTCATTAGGCAACCAAACAGGGACTGGATGTATACTGGATATAATAATGTTTGAAAAGGCAGAAATAAGGAATTCCCTTGAGGTCTTTAGGTGGCCTTAAAAAAAAGCAGTTTTAATTTAGTCCTAGAAGGACTGTTAATCGTCGTCAATCGTCCCAAATGGCAAGACCTTGACAGGAAATGACATCGGGTTGCCAGGGGTAACGGCAGGTCCAAAGCCAAGGGTCTGGGAGGCTTTACTAAATATTAAACAATCATTGCAGCTTCCTGCAGCTGAAGCTCCTCGTATTTGATGATGCGGTCCAGGGTGTAAACACTGTGCATCTGAAATGCAGAGTGGTGAACTACATGTGGGACAGAATAACGCATTAACTGTACAGCATTGATCCTTATCTCTTTTATTTTCCGGCAGCATCGCCATCTGCTCTACAACCTGTTCTCCAAAAATTACCGGATCAGGAGGAGCGTGGTTCAGGCCAAACTTGCTCAGGAGTTGGGAGACGTGTCCAAAGCCGAAGTCGATCGGCTGCTTCATGTAAGGGCGGCGGGGGGGGGGGGGGGGTCTATACTTGAATATGTGCTGTATTCATTAGAATCATTACAATAGCTCTGACATCAGAACACATGATCTGCAGTTTATTTTTCCAGAAACAGGCTTTTAGCTAGGAATATTTCAAAGGGTGTAAACTTTGCTGTATCACATCTTAAAGCTTTTTTCATTTTTCATGCTTGTAAACATTAAGGTCAGTAAAGTGTACAGATGCATCTGATGCTTCTGCTGCTCCCGTGTTCAATGGCAAAGAGTGGATTTTCTATATTTGCTGTGTTAAGTGGGTAATAACTGGTTCTGATACTTGAAAGCATAGTGCAGTCGGTTCATCAAGATTACAATCCTGCCTTAAATATTTGGCTGTTGGAGCCACATTGATCTGCACAAACCAGCTGGGGATCCCTAGCAGCAGCTGCCGGGTTGCCTCTTGGGTTTTTCCCTTACTGTTCATGGTAGCTGGAAGTAGATGTTAGCATTTTTCAGGTATGTGGTGCAAACTGCAGGTACCAGAATAATACAAGTGAAGATATTTTGCCGACAGGTTTCGATATTCTAAGTTAATTTAGGCATTAATAAACTGGAGTGATCATAGCGCTCTGCATCATCAGCATTGTGTCTGTCTCCCTGCCAGCTCGCAGATCAGCTTCTCTGATTGGTTGATGTAGTGCGTCAAGCAGCAAAAATTTAATTTTTCCAACTCCAGCTGCTTCTGAGTTTTCGATGAAAAAACAGGGCCTTTGTCTTTTTTGTTTTTGTTTTTAGGCTATACACATTGCTAGCTAAAAGCCTGTTCAGATAGACCAATCTATAAAACAAGTTTTATTTATCCCCTTTTATATTTAATTGATGGACTTCTAAATACAGCGGGTAGCAATACATTTTCTTGAAGTGTATCAGAGGAAAGGAGCTGAATGCATGTTCTCATGTAAAACTAATTAAATCTACAGCTTTGTACTAGTTTGTGGGAACCTATTCTGAAGCCTGCTTTCAGTCTAACCCTTTATTTTTTATTATTATTGTTTTAGGAGTGCTGCATGAGCAGTGCAGGGTTCTGGTACCTGAAGGGAACGTTACAGTCCTGACCCTAAAAACCTGCCTGCCTTCGGCCACCGACAGATAACCCAACAGTGTCCGATGGGAGGACAGACGACAGCCAATCACAGCAGCCGTTCAGGTCTGAGAGCCAGAGACTGGAGGATGGCGACGTCAGCTGCGTTTTCTGCTCCAAAGAAACTTCACAATAATGTGAAAAATGACTCCTTAACACAGCAGGAGGGGGGAAATTTTAAATCTCTCAAAGCTGGAGACACTGGGAAGAAGTGGATTAAAAATACAATAAAGAAATAGTTGAATAGAAATGAAGTTGGGCGTTTTCTGCTTTTTTTTTTTTTTAAAATAACCAGGATGGTGTGTAAATGTCAAACATTTCATGCTTCTATTGTTTTACTCCTCTTTTTGTCAGAAAGCACGGTTCAGTTAACCACATTAGGACCTCATGAGGAGATGACTTATTCAGTTAAGGATCCATTAATTTAATTCTTGCTTTGGGTTCAGATCACTATTTTCATCCTTAGTGAAATTTGGAAAGTTGTGAAGCTTGATTGAAACAAAATGATCAGCATCTGAAGACAAAAGGGATACTTTATGCATATCAATTTAATTCTGAAACGTTTTTTTTTTTTTTGTGGGGACCAGACGTCTCCATCAATCAGATCTGTAATGACTGCTAAACTCTGAGAGGTAAAGTGAATTCAATGCTACTGTAAAGTTGGCTTCATGAGCTGAACACCTTTTTAAATATTTCTTTCATTGGTTATGAGAGATTTACTCTGATAACAACCAATAAAAATGCATTTTAAAGTGATAATTGAGTTTGTTTTTTAATTTATCTATTTAAAGTGATTCTTTGTGTCTTCATTGGGCCTTGCTTTGTATACAGTCTCAGAACTGGAACATGACATTTGAAAAGTATTACTATAAGTTTAAATGCCTAAAATAATCCAAAACGTCTTGGTTTGCTGCCGCCAACGTTTACCGTAGAAATTCATTTCGGAAAATGTCTTTCTCCTTGAAACTGCTAAACCCTGAAGGTCTGTTGTCTGAGGAGAAGACGTGTCAACTCTGCACTTTTTAAAAATCTGCAGATCGTGCTCTCCTTGCATCTTTAAATAACAAACAAAAAAACACTTAACAGCTGTCGGTTAAATATCCTTCTGTCCACCCTTTATAACTCCTTGGTGCAAACCGTCTGTCATTGAGGCAAGATGCAGACTCAACCCTGGACAAGTAAATAGTTCATCTCAGTATTTGAGCATTGGTCCGTTTCACAAAGCAGCTTTAACAAACTGACTCAAATCCTCATGAGTTTTCAGTTTCATAAAAGCTGCTGTTAATTTAATCAACTCTGATTTAGGTTCACTCAGTCCATTTTGATGTTTTCCCAATAAATAGTTTTAATTAGCAGTTATCAGTCTCATAGAAGGGCTTCAGATGGTGCCTCCTACATACTAGTAGGCCTAGTAGGTTATAATTGAAGGAATTCTAATCCTGGAATTAATATGTGTAATCTGAAAATAATTTCAGCAGGCTAGTAGTTCTTTGTGTGTTGTTAATAAAATGAGCCGCATGTCGCTCATATTAAACAAACCAAAACCAAATAAATCTCATATCCTGTCCAATAAGATGTCTAGGAATCCTCTCCCAATAAATACTTCATTCTCAGTGAATTAATGCCAATCCTTCTTTAATTGGATTCACATACAATGTGTAATGGACCTAGTGAGAGTTTTTATTTTTATCATGTGTACAAAACTATGACAAAAACCTCCTGACTAAATCAGGGAATTAAAATCAAAATGTGATTGGCTCTAAGAGGACAGAGACAGAAGACGGTGAGTTTACTGAAGAAAACCAGGTTAGCTTTGAGGAGAATGTTACTATGGTAACAGAGTAAACTCTTTGTGAAAAGGAAAAACTCCTTGATTTCAGGTTAAGAAAACTTATTTTCAGTAAACCTGCTTGAAACGGACCCCTGGAAAGTAGGATAATTAGCCATTCGAGCAAAACAAAAAAGTATATTTAAAATAAATTTAAAAAACTTTATTTTATTTGTTGTGCTTGAAATCAAATTGATTCATATGGATCAGTTTTTGCAGTCTTGGAATTAACTAAATGGGAAACAAAGCAACATTTAACTGAAGTTGCTGAAAACCCACTTCAAACATTTATGTGTTCAATAGATGCAGATTTGAGGCAGTAAAAGGAAGATTTTATAAGTACTATTTTAAGATTTCCTGTAATATATATTTTTTTAATATTACTCTTTCAAATACCAGAACATGTTCATAAAGTTTTTATGCTAATCCTCCATTTTTCTGATTTAAATCTGACATTATCCCACAGCTACTCGGCACAACAGTAGCAAATATTTTTCCACGCTTGCAAGTAGGGCTAATGTTTGAGGACTACTTTTTATTGCTCCTTGATTCAAAGCGTAGTGAATATTCTTCCTTAAATATGACTTTCGGCTGCCTTACAAGACTATACAGTACATGACTCTCCTACACAAAGATTATAATTGTAAAGTGGAAGAAATAGGATAGAGGGTTTTCTATTTGTATAAAAATGCATAAAGTGTGATGATTAGTCACAGCGGAACCTACTTTAATATTTAGAATTTATAAAACAATCAAAGTTTGCTTCTAAAGTAAGAGGCTGTAATATCCAGCAAATGGCGCTGTTGTTTTAGGGTCACTGGGTTTCAAAGAAGACTAAGGTTCTCCCTTCATAACAAAAGTCTATGTTACAGTTTGGTCTGAGTCATGTAAGAAACTCAGAAATGATTGTTTAATGATGTCCCCTGGTCAGATGGGATCAAAAGTAAAGTTTTTTGTCATAAATGCAAATCTGGAACGCTTTCTCCATCGGAAAGACCTGAGAATGTGGCAGAAGTTCCAGCTGGAGGAAGATGCCAAGCAGAAAGAATCCACAATAGAACGAGTTGAAAAAAGCAGAATTGATTGGTAACAAGGACCAGTCAAAGTTCAAACTTAAATTAAAGACTATAAAACAAATGCATAGAGGAAATTTTGCACAATTTGACCTAATTTACAAAGAGCTGCCAAAGAATAGTCCATTTAAAGCTGCAGAGGGTGAGCGGAGCTGTACCTCAGGAGTCCTGCAGCTGTAACTTTGCCATTCTCGCTCTGTGCATTAATAATATCCTATTTAAAACCTATGGTAGTTAAAAGTAAACTTAGCTGCATGCAATGAACAAGAGTGTGGATTATTTCTCTTAAGTTAATTAAATAAAGTTTGAGACATGTACTCTGACTAAGATGGATTTAATCTCTGCTGAGAAATAACGGGTAGATTTAAAAAGAACTGCTGCAGGATGTGGAAAGCAGAAAAGCTGCACAATCCTCTAGTAGAGCAACAGGAAGGAGCAAACCATTGAAGCTGTTACAAAGACCACAGTCACCTAGAAGAACGTGTAACACAAGAAAGCAGATATGCAAGTTCAGCAAATGAATTAAAAGCAGATCAAATATCTTTAATAATTTTAATGGCCTGATTTAACTTGGAATTTTAAAGTGAAACATGAAGGGCTCCGCTTTAAAGTTCAAAGTGCTGAAATTACAATCTTTTGTCTTGAGAAAAAGATTCCGTGAACCTCTGCTATCCGCTTTCAAACTGAACAACCTAAGAGCGCCTAAAGAGGGGATTCCTCACTTGCAGCTTAAAGTGCAACTATCAGCTTTCTCTCCCAGAATAACGACATTAACGGTCGTCTTTTCAAGTTCCAGTCCCGGCCACCTGACACCAGCATGCTACAGCTGGGTGGTCTGACCCTTCCAAGTAGAACCTCAGTCCTGGTTTAGGTTTGAGCCAAGCTGGATCTTCAGGATTTGTTGGCCTGGAGCTGTCCAGGTTATGCAACAGATTACATTTAAATCTAAGCTCTTTACTGCTCAGAGAGGGGTTAACCCAGCAGGTTGTTTGTAAGCACAGGCAGATTTGGAATCGGATGACTCGCTCTCCAAGGCTACTGGAAACAATGCTGCATGGCGGTCCGACAGTCCATAGACCAGTTTCCAGTCAATGGATCATATCTGAAGGGATAATCCTTGATTAGGGGAGTCCTGGCTGTCCATGAAAATGAAATTAACAGGAAGCTCAAACGTTTGCTATATTATTAGCTATATTAACATTTTTTATTGACACTTGTAAAACTATTCACTCACCTTAAACTTTTGCACATTTTGTCATTTGGAACAACCTTCAGTGTATTTCATTCGGTCTCTTCGTACAGTTTTAGAAATTGTTGTGCATTTATTTCTTTAGTATTTATCTGCACATAAAGATATATTTAGTAGAACATCTTACAGGAAGCACAAGTTTTGCTGAAAGTATTTTTGCAAAGTAATCCAATGATAATAATCTAAAATACTATGTTTTAAGTCTTTCCACAGATTCTCACTTGGATTTAGTTGGTTTCCACCATATTCACTTCTTTGCATTTTAGGTTTATTTGACCACAGCTCCGCCAGCGTTTCCTACATTACTAGCAGTAGAAATTAGACAGGACTTCTCATAGCTTTTGTCATAAATGGATTTTTAATTATTTTTCATATTTGTGAGGTTCACTGCTACCAGTTTTCCTCTGAAAAAGAGCTTTCTTTCTACCTGAGCTTTCATTATCGGATTATGGACTGAAATTAGCTTTGTGCGATGTGACCTACTAACGTATGTTCCTTGGTTTTGTATTTTTCTGTTTGTTCTGTAACCAAACCTCAGAGCAATTAGATTAAACTACACAAAAAAGTACTCTATTTAACAATTAGATGGCCTTGTTACACAGTTGATTGCACTAAATATATTAAAATCAGCGTATATCTATGATCCACGGTCAAATAAGCTAAAACAACAAAAAACACCAACACTCTACAATTGGTTAATTTATTATTTATGGCTCATAAGAGTTGAAAACACATTATATAGTGCACAGTAGTGAGGACCATCTTAAAACAGCTGATTGCATTTATACAAACAAGCCAACAAAGTAGCCCCCAAAGATGCTGTTTTGATGCTCAGTCTTTCAGTTCAGTGAAGACAAGCTTCACTCATTTCTTCATGAAGTTTTTTCCATGTCACACAACCAAATACATTTACCTATTTGTTCACTAATTCACTCATAGAAGCCATGGTCACATGAATCCTTGCTAATGCTAATTTCTAAACTGCCTGTTGTTGCATTAAAGGCAGCAGGCAAACTACAGGCAAGCAACGTGCTACATTACAAGTTAAATAACTTAAATGTTTATAAGCCAAATGTTTTCATTGGATTCTCTCAGGAAACTTTAGTTTTGTGATTGCTGTTAAAGTAAACCTGCTGCAGCTCCTGTGATATGTCCAATGAACCAGGTAGAAACTTTCCAGATTTATAGATATTTCAACCAGAGTTCATTTCATTCAATATATTTAGGTATAACTTTGAGATAACTTTCCAGGACATAACTTTGATGCTTTCTGGGATCCCACCAAGTACCAGAACTTTGAGTTAATTTCTGAAATTTACTTGGTACCAGAATATCAGCTCAGATCTCAAGATGAGATAGTGAAGAAAATCTGAATACATTTTTCTGCTCATCAAAAGCATTACAACTAAACTTCCATTTTCTATCTATAAACACATCAACCGGCTACATGAGGACAAAGAAATCAAAAATGATTCAGCAGGTCAGAGAAACCTAGAATCTTGGCCAAGCAAAGCCTAATAGGTGCACCTTGTTTTTCCCTTTTTTTTTTGGAAGAGGACAGATTTTTTTCAGAAAGGCTCCCACATGTTGATCCCAGTTTTGAGGTAGAGTGATTGTTCATTGGAGACAGAGGCTTAGGCACGGTGTTTCTGTGCAAAAGGAGCCACTTTTTTAACATCAGCTGGTCGTATTGAGCCCTGTCCTTTCTGAACTACCCCTTTATCTCTAGGCTTGCTTTGGTTGCAGTCATCGACTTGGAAAACAAGTCTTCACAAAGACAGTTTATTGTTTTTCTAAGTCAACATCTAATCCCTCAGCTGGTCCTCTTACAGAAGAAACTAATCCAAAGATGGTGGCCGTTCAGCAACAGGGGCTCCTCCCCTATTTTCAATCAGATCTTTGGTTTTCTGGATGCGAGAAAAGATTTCCCTAAAAAGTTCCTTATACTCTGGTTGGTGAAAGTCATCCTCGCTGTCCTCCGTCTCTGCAGGATGAGAGGAAGATTCACTGAGCATCAGCTCCTGCAGCTCCTCCTGATTCCCAAAGCGGCGCAGCAGCTCCTCGTACTTCACCTGCAAGGCACTGTATTGTGCGTCGACCTCGTTAAGCAGAGAGATTCCGCGATACTTCACCACTTCTGGTCGGCGAACGCAGGAGCATTCGTGATCATAGATCCTGTTTGGAGAGTCTGGTCCCTGAGTGGCCTTCATCAGACGCTCACTGGCCCAGCGCTTCAGAACAGATGGACTTTTAACGGGAGCCTGCAGACCTTCGCCCTCCTCCTCCGGATTGAGCAACAGGGGGTGCGGCAGAAGGCCATGGATGACGTCCGACCTGGCTGACCGTGACAAGGACTGTGATTTCCAGAGCTGACGAAGTTCTTCTGCCTCTTGTTCAAGCTCAGAAACTCTGGCCTGTTAGAGAAAAAGAAGTACAATGTCTTCAATCAGGGTTCCCAAATCTCGGTTAACATCTAATTCAAGCACTTTCCAGAACCGATTTCCCCAAATTCAAGACCATAGATGGCTGCATTTACCTCTTCCAATGTCAGATTTATGCTAAAATTGTGCCAGTATGTGTTTTATAAACACATTTATAGTTCAAAGAGATGATTCTTTGTAGGTTTGGCTGCATAAATTCTATTCTTGTTTCAAAGTCAACCAGCAGAATCGTACAAAGTTCTGTTTTTTATTGAATGTAATTCTGCTTCTATAATCCCTAATCTTAAAAATAAATCAAACAACCATGCAGGTTATGATTCAATAAAAAATAGAGGTAATACTACAAGCAGCAGGTAATGGATGTCTCCTACCTGGCAACCCTCCATTCTTGCCAGCTGTTGCTCCAGAACTGCATTTTCTCTGGCAAGAAGCTCCGCCTCAGTCTCCGCCTCCTCGCGCCGAGCACGCTCGGTGGCAAACTGAGTCTGAAGGGTGTGGAGGGACTGCTGCAGTGCAGCATGCGCCTCTTCGTGCCACAACGTGGCTGGTGCTTCAAGGTCGTCAGGATGTTCTTCCACATCAGCGTCATACCTGCAGAGTTAAGGTCAAACCTCTAAGCAAGATTTACTAAAGATAACTATGCAAACCTGCATAAAAACAGGAGGTAGATCATCTGGTCTACAGGTACAGTCAGAAAAACCTATGGATCATGACTTTGGAGATAATGGTGGACTTCTACAACCTGGCAGCAGCCAGATTGATATTTGTAGAACTGAGTTGAGTTCTACGTTATCAATCTGGGATGGCTGCCGTTCAGTCTGTCCGTCAAAAGGAGGGACTTTTAGTACAATACTTTGAGCTGATTGGGTGACATGCCAGCTAGTACCCGCCTTCCATAATACGCTTTAAGCCAATCGTAGCAGCGAATCGCGACGATTTGTAAACTGATAAATCAAACTTTCTCCAAATCCTGTCAGAAGAAAAGCACAGAAATCTTTCCCATCTACAAATGCACAAAGTGCTTCTTTTTGTTCATTTTTTAAAATAGAAATTGTGACTATTTTATCTAAAACCGAGTCAATTGTGGTATGGACAGGTGAATCCTCAAGCTTAGCCATGTTTATTATTTCCCATTAAGGCCCTTCTGACTGTCATCATTCGCACATGTCCAGCCCCAACAAACACTGCTGGCATGTCATTGGTCCAACCTACCGGTGGTTCAGAGACGAACGTATCAGCGGGAGACTTTCAAGATGGATCCAGACAATCCAGCTTGCAGCGCATGGTTAGAGGAATTGGACTCAACTCTTGTTTAAATCCCTGCTATTGTGACAAATGCTTTGCATTCTCAACCTGATTTACAAATTCAGCAAAGGTTTTGAAATAATCCTCATAGAGCTATCTTAAATTATATTAATGAAAAAAATAAATTTTTATTAAATGGTTCTTTAACTTAGTCTGACCACCTGGTCCCCAAAGTTAGAAAAACAACAGATATCAGCACAGGCAGACAAGGCAGCTTTAGATAGTTACCAGAGCTGCAGCAGCTGACCATCTTCACGGTAGGCTCTTATATTTCAGGCAATATTTACAGGCTAACTATCTTGAGAAATGTTGCAGCTCTATCTTTAACAGAAGCAGTCTCATCTGCTATTTGTGTCCACAATGATATAAGCATGTGTTCGTTCTAATCTCTGATTCAAAAGGCGGAAAATAAAGTGAAAGGTGAGAGGAAATGCACACACAGTGTTAAAGGGTCAAAGATCATGAAACCAGTTTAGTGTTGATATTGTGCAACACTGAAACAAACAAACTTGTGTATTTAGCCAATATTAGGAAAATGCAAAAACATTTTTTTATATCTTGTGTGTTTTATGCTTAATATTGATGGAGGAAGAAACAAACATAAAACGCGTTTCTAATCAAAGAAGCGAAGTGATTAGATTAAAATCAATCAGCCTGAGTGGGTTATTATCCTGTCCGTGCGGTCCAGCTCAGACTTTGACCTCCTTCCTTCCAGCCTCCTCCGCCACACTGCACTCTGACTCCAGACGCGGCCGTCTCCTTATCGGGGAGATTCCCATGCGTCTGAGCTGGATATATTTTCAACAATCCCCATCAAAAGGATTACACTCAACAGGGCCTAGAGTGAGCGAATGAACCTGTCCCACTGCAGATAAACAGGAAGTGGCCACAGTGTGAACACACTGCTCACTGCTGTGAGCCCAATAGGAGCAGGATTAGTGGACATGGAGGGAGGGAGTATTTACCCATCCCTTGGCAGAGCTTACAAAGAGCTTCTGGATCAGCGACAAAGAAGCTAGTAACATTTTAAAAGGCTCAACTAGACTCTGTGCAGCTAAGGACCACAGAAGAAGCATCAAACCCTGTTGTCTTGCTAGCTTTAAGAGTAACTAAAACTAAAAACAACTTGGTTTAATATTGGCCTTAAGGGTGTCCATCTCTATGCTACATCCAAATCTCTATATATTTTTTGTAAACATGTTTAATTCTAAAATATTCTAAATAAAATATTCATGAAAAAAGTAAATGTCTACATAACAGCTAGGAATGTGCATTGGCATGCATGTTGGGATACATTACGTGTCACAATACTTGGATCACGGTACGATATTATATAGCAATATTTTATCCAGTTACCAAAATTAAATTCATAGATAAAAAAGCAAGTGCTGTATATTTTCGTCAGAAGATATTGATCATTTTTGCATGACCAGCTTCGTGATGCTGGTCATGCAAGCTAACGCTAACTCAACGGTGAGTTTAATACTTTCATTTTTCTGTAGTTGAGTTAGCATTAGCTTGCATGACCCGCTCCGTGATGCTGGTTTTCCTTCTGTATGAGCGCCACAAGCGTCATGTCACGTGACTAAGAAAACGTAACGGGATTGGCTGGGTGTTGGACACCACAATCCATTGCTAATGTCTGTGACCTGAAGTAACCCTTCCCTTTTTACACTGAATTTAGACGCCGAATTTAAGACAGTGAAATAGAGCCAGTTGAATCTCAGGAGGCTGAAAATATTGAATTTGAATATTGAAATGTTGAATTTTTGATATGCAAATTTGTTTAACACTGAAAAATTAAACTGAAAAATAAGTATTGAAAATGTAATCACTTTGAAATAGTAATGTGAATTTTAGCTTGAAGAGAAAATAAAAAATGAAATTTCAACTCTGTAGAAATAATGACAATGAACTTCTTTTTAGGTCAAAAATGTGTTCTGAATATATTTTAACACTGAAACAGTAAGTACAATCATACATTTAAATTTCAGTGGCATTTTTTATTCAAATCCCAGCGACACAGATTTACTTCCATACCTCAGAAAGATTATTTAAGATCAATTCCAAAGAAAGTCTGAATCATTGGCAGTAAATTAATTTCAGGCTTCTCCACAGAACTGTTTCTCAAAATAAAATTTAGAGATATGTGTTTTATAAAATAGGTTAAGAAATTCACAATATTTAAGAAAATCAAAGATACCAGCAATTCCTATCGTCTGATGTTTATTATCTGTTATAACAGGAAAAAAAAGTATAATCACCTGTGTGTGCTTTGCAGATCCTGCAGACAGGACACACTCTGACTGCTGCGAGGCGACCATTTTTCTCCAAACGGAGACCTCTGAGACTGACGTGAAGTTAGTTTTAGTTCTTCCACGTGACGCTGCAGCTCCTCCACCTGTGTCTGCAGCAGCTCCACTGTCTCCATTAGCCTGTCCAGGCAAAGCAAATCACAGGACATTGATGAGAAGAAAAGTTTTTTGCATTAAAAGCTGCCGTTTTTCCTTTTTAATAAGGTCTCCTACCCATTGATCTTCAACTGGGCTGCCCGGTTGTCTGAAACCAGTTTTTGGTTGCTTTGCTCCAGCTCTCGAGCTGAAACGTCAAGCTGTTCGTAAACCTTGGCATGCTGGTCGTTGACCTGCCGGAGGAGGTCCACCTGTTTGGTTAGGTACTGAAAAAGGAGAGAGGTTTGCTAAGTTAGGGGAAGAGGAAACAGATTAATTCTAACGATATTTCAGGTGAGTTAGGAGCCATAAACTACTCAATAATCACTTTAACAGGACCAAGAATAAGGGTTTTTGGTGACAAACTTCAAAAATTATACTAAATAGTGATAGTACAGACATTGTCAAAGCCGTGAAATGAGGAACACAACAGAAGTGGAGACAGAATAAGGAAATCAAATCCACAGGTAAAATTCAAAGACATCTCATGATAAAGATGCAGTTTCTAGCCTACTGTATAACCCCATGCATTACCAGTGCTTTGTAAGAGAAAATAACCTGGAAGCTAAAACTAGCAGAGCAAAAAGTCCCTTTTGACCCAATATTTATATTGCATGTTATGGGCGTCAGTGAAAAATAATAACAAGACAAAAATGGGAGAACGCAGCAGCTATTCTTGGATAGCTTTGCACAAATAAAAACACAGAGCCCAGTGGCCTTTAAGGTGTGAATGGAAGGTGCTAAGCATGTCTGACTAGGTGTTCTTTTATCTGCCAGGTCAGTTTCTTCTAAGCCGATGTCAGCTGTCTATTTTCACTTTATAAATCTCCAAGGGTTGGAAACTGGTATGTTTAAAACTCATCATTCAGCTTCATTCAAGGTTTGCAGTCATGCTAAGAATGCCATCACAGTTAATGCAAACCTTGTAAGCAAAGAATGTTATATTAGTTTATGCACAAAGCAGATAACCAATTTGCGAAGCACCATGACAGTCCGACATCTTGAAAAGACAGAGGCCGGCAAGAGGTAAAATAGTACTAATACACGGAATAACAATGCCTTATCCCTTGCTGGTAGTTCAGTGTGGTTGAGAAGTGGCGGTGAAGATTATTTGGAGACGCTAAGCCAACAACTGAAAGTCCGCACAACTGCAGCACAATGAAGGACCTTGTATATGAAGCAGCAGCTCAAGAAAGTGTTTTTCCATCCACAAGAAGATGAAAAGAAGACAACTTAAAGTCATAGGGAAGCGGCCGTTCAAACGGTTGCAGTTCCAAATTCTCCCAAGCGGTGCCCGACTTTACACAAGGCAATAAAGTGAATGTGATTAGTCAATTATCAAGGGGGCGGGATTGTTGTGGCGAAAGGTTCGCAAGCAAGTTTGGTTGTGGCCGGTGTCTCGGAAGCATCTTGCTAAGCAGTTAGCAACTTAGAGCTAGTAGGTTCCCAATGGGAAATTACATTGGGAAATTACATTGGGACCAAGTAGCACTTAGCAATGACACTGTCAAGGAACGCTATTGACAGGGGAAACATGCAAGAGGATGAGAGTTTTGTGTCGTACATTTTTTTATTTAGAGGAGGAGAGTGGGGACGAAGTTGTTGTGGAAGAGGACGCCAGGGCGGCAGAAGCTTGGTTTGGTGTAGAAGGCTTACAGCCATACATGTTTGAACCCTTGGCTCGCAACGCTGCCAGTTCTGTTAGCTCTATGCCTCCCGAAGACACAGATATCCATCCCTGGGACGCAACTCAATGGTAAAGTAAATGAGTCTTATTTAAACCATTGCGTATATTAGCTACAACATATGAATCTAGATGCTATGACCGAAAAAATGTGATTGACAGATGACTGTTGATATATGATTGGCCGAATTTAGGTGTACAAGCTTACGTATAACTAACTGGCCTGCATAAAATAATGAAAAAACCCCCACAGATTTTAAGAAAGGATTTTTCTTTTAAATAGAAACGTTCTAACTTTTGGGACAATATGGTCTGATAAAGAATATATTTATATACATGTTTAAGCTAGAATAATAAAAAATTTAAATATGACCTTCCTACGACTTTAAAAGAAAACTAAACCAGAGAAATCAGGAGCCAATAAACGAGAACATTTTTAAAATTGATACTGAAGTTACCATATTGCTCCTTAATGAGTAAGTTAACTGCATTGCCATAATTAGCCTAAAGCTAACTTTTTCCACTCAGTTTAATTAGACAGAGTAGTTTGTAACCATAGAAAGCATAACAGTAGATCCAATGAACATATACCAATCTTATTGGTACAGAATTGCCTTAGTTGCTTTCAAAGCCGTGGTGAATGGCAGCTTTTTGTCACAGTAAATACCAACTTTTAGAAACTTCACTTCACATGTGTTTGAACCGGTGGGTTTAATGTTCATTTGATAAAAATATCCCCACCAGGACAGTCATCCTTACACAATAATCCTTTAAAATGTATTGATTGATTTAGGTATGATTATTCAAACAGGGCCAAAGAAAGGCTAAGTGCATGATGAGTTAATGTGAAGTATTTAATTCACCAATGAACATCATTACTGTGAGTTATTCTCAGTACTCTGAGTTATTCATATGATAATGAATGTGTTTATTGTGCGGCTCTATAAATAAATATGTATAACTACCTGCACGGGTCTGACAGTCCTTTGGCTTTTTCACTCTTCACATTACCATCAAATTTATAAGAACTCTTTTATGTAAAACAGTATATTTATGTTGGTCTATCACATCAAATTTACATATACAATGAAGCTGAAGTTCTGGTTGTAATGTAATAAAATGTCAAAATGGAAGGGTTATGAATTCTTTCTCAAAACACAACATTTGGATGACAAAAGGAGCAATAAAACAATATTTATGGGTACTTCGTTGGTCGGCAACAACTCAGAGACACAATGCTCTGCTCTTAAGAGATTGCATTTGGTCTGAAGACGCCAAGGCTGATTGGTTTAGATAAATCTAATTAAAGTCCAGGTAACTTTTAGTAACGATGAATTCATTTAGAGCTGATTCAAGATGAAAAGGTTTTCTAAAGCATGTACAATGTCTTATAGCATGATAAATCAGCCAGCCATTACACAGACATCCAATCTTTCCTCTCTACCTCGATCTCCTGCAGTTGCTCCTGGTTGGTGGTGTACATCTGCTGCAGCCCCTGCTCCAGCTCCCGGTTCCTCTCCAGGAGAGACTTCCCCAGCTCAGCGGCCAGCTGTAGGTCTGCAGGAGAGACGGAGCCGTGAGCAGGAACCGGACGGCTTTTGTCGTTCATGGTTAATGCCGCTAATTCTAGCGTGTGGCCCTTTAACAAGCTGCTTTAGGAAGGTTTTGTGCTTTTGTTGGCAGAAGTCCAAAAACCTGCTTTTTTTATGTTCCACATTTAAAGAAAATTCAGATTTTAACTAGTAACTAGAATAAAGTATTCTGTTCTGTCTGTGTCCCTAGAGCCTTTATTAATTTAAGATTTGCAACTTTTACAAAGCATAATAGAAAAGAAGCTATTTAAAAGAGATTCATACATTTATGGCTCGCTGCATAATTTAATTTCTGCGTACATTTATTTGTTTATTGTATTTTTGAGGGCAATTAATTGTATGCTTATCTATTTATTGAGAATTTATTTATTTATGTATTTATTTTTAAATATGGCAGAGTTGGTCCTCCATAAGAGGTGTCATTTTTCAATCTATAAATGATATATTATTTGTGCTCAAGGTGTAGATGAAGCAAATTACTGTATTTACAAAAATATTTTACAAAAAAATAGAAGTTGATCAGAATTGAATTTTTTTTATATATATACTTCCAGCCTTGAAAATTCTATTAAAAATAAGTAAATAAATAGAAACACTTGCATGTATGAAATAAAGGAAAATAAATTGAATAATAATACAGAAAGGCTTTTAAGTTTAAATTTATGGGGGGAAATTTCCAGAAAATTTGCAAAAATATATTGAATATGATAATTCTATGACAAAAAAAGAAAAACAGGGAAAGACTTTTGTTACATACAGTAGTGTTGCTATAGCCATCAGAATCATTTTCTGAAAATATCATTTTAACACATATTTAACATATAATATATAAAGTTCTGGAGGGAGTAAAATCTCCTTCAAGGGGACACTGTTAGAGGACAAAACAAAGGGACCCCCCTCATAATTTCAAGATTAATTCAAATCAAATAGCCTTCATTGATTTTTTTTCCTTTAGTAGTAATAACAGTGTAAAAAAGGCCCATTACTGCTGTGAAAGATTAAAGATTAAAACATCTAAGACATAAAAGGAGAAAATCTTCTTAGAGCTTTTGTGGATTCCCCCACTTTGCCGCATATTGGAACAATCTGCTGACTCCTGCCTTTTTCTGCATCCACCATAATAACTATGTCAAAAGAAAATCTGTAAATCTGTTGCATGCTTTATGAAAAAAGTAATGAAACTTTCTTAAATATTTAATACCCCATTTATTATTATTTTATTAACAGCAGAAATGCTAAATTCAAATTATTTTCTTCCTGTTTATCTATCAAAATGTTAAAATGCATTTAGATTTCAGTTTAATAGTCAGGAAAAAGGGCAGACAGGTATTTTAAATCTTTAGGGGCTCCTTAACAAAGAAAGGAAATGTACCATGTTCAAGGTCCTGCTTGTCGTACCAAGGTTCCTCCTCCTTAATTTCAAATTCTTCTTCCACAATCATGTCTCTCAGCATCACTCTAATAAAAAAAAAAGAAAAAAATATCTTCATACAAAAATTATCTTCCAGTTTCTAGACATGACAAACAGGAGCGAGTCCCGCTCGCTGGCAGCAGCAGCCGGTGTGCGGCAATCAGTAACGGTCACACTGCTGACAGCTCACCGCTGATGAAGTTAGGAAGCTGGCTGAGCTCACTTCCGGTACAGGTTTTTCAAAATGTGTTGTTTCAAACGCAAATAAATAAATAAATAAATAAATAAAAATAAAAATAAAAAAATAAATACATAGTTAAAGTAGATATATTTTTTTATTTTGACAAAAATTTGTTTTTAGAGAAAAAATCCCCCATAACTTCCGTTTACTTAAAGAAACAAAATCAAGAGCAAGGAACAAATGTCTAACTATCACATTATTTTCAAGTCTGTGCACCATGTGACTTTTACTCTACAAATAAAGATTAAAGAGAAAACTTTTTTTTTTAACAATATATCTCAGTTGAAAATTTAGAAAACTATGTTCGCAATCCTATCAAGAAAACAGACATCACAAAACTAAAATATCTAAATAATATCTTATGTCAAAAAGGATTTTATGAAATAAATATTTTTATAACATGTGAATCTTAAGCTTTTGCTGCTCTTTCTGCAATTCTTCACATGTCTGAAAAGAAAGGTTCATTGAGTTGGAATTAAATTACTTGTATACATTTGTTTATTGTATATTACTACAAATATTTACAACTACATTACAAAACAATTGAATTAATTTCCTTACTGTGTGATAGAAAACATATTAATGTCTAACTCTGCAGGTCATTTCTTTTTTAAAGGAATTCCAAGTCTTTTTTGAGCAGTGGTTCTTTTATTGTGAAAATATCCACTTTCAATTTCCGGTCTTGATTTACTTAGCTGGCAGTTTCCCATTGCTACACCTGCTTCACCGCGCTGGCTTCCTCCATGGAGACTGTACAGACATACTCACCATCACCACAAGAGGGCGCTGCAAATAAACCTGGAAATAAATTACTGCTTTTCCCCCATAAAACAGTTTTTAAAGTATATTTTCACGATCGCCATATGTTATCTAGCAATAACTTTAATTTTTAAACATCTTGTGAAATGTACTAATTAATATTTGTCTTTTTGAAGCTGCAAACCAAACATAAAAAAAATTATTATATTTTCTCATCTTTGCTTGTCTGTACAAGTCAAAGTTACTTTCATTTAAAAAATAAATTGTTAAATTTAAGATAAGTTTAAATGCTTACAATGTGTGTGTGTTTTTTTTATAACATTAAATATATATGTTTCAGTTTACTATTTTTGATTGCAAAAACAGAAATAATCAAATATAAGATGAGTTTTGTATTCTAAATGTTTTTTTGATAATATGTTTTAATAAAAAGGCAAATATTCTTAATGCAAATTTCTAATTGAAACGTTTTACAAAGTGAGCTAAACCAGGGATTCCTAAAGATAATCAACTGAGGGTGGTGAGACAATTTAGAGGATCAAATTAAGTCATAACTACAAAAGATGTATAACAAGGTAAAAAATTATGACATGAAACTATTTCTGTAATTTGCAATTGCTCATTATGAAATGAGCAATTACATAACTAATGTCTCATTAAATGATTAAATATACATTTTAAGTTGTAAAACTTTAATTAATTGGAAATAATAACTTTAATTGAAAGTCTGTATTATGTTTGTTTTTTTAGCCTAAAAGATGTTTATGTTCATTATTTTGGATGTTTGTTTTAGTGTCAGTAGGGGGCAATATTGCTTTATTTTTTTTCCTATTTCTGTTCTCAGATTCACAACCAAATAAATAATCCTTTATTCAGTCAAGACACAAAGAAAAATGTATTCAGGAATTGTGTTTATTTAAAAACATAAAACAACATTACTACAGGGAGTTCATCCATAGACATTGTATCGAAAATTCAGCAGCAGCTGACGAACATGTTGGTGTCGATAAAAATAAGAAAACATTTTATTTAGTGAATGTGTGTCTTTTTTTACCTCCTTCCTTGAGAAGGGAAAACGACTTCCTGATGATGAAATATTTGACAATCTAAAGCCAAACCGATAAGGATGAGGATCTAATCAAATGCTTAAGAATTTTACTAATATCTGATAAATCCAATACGTTTTTTTTTATATATATAATTTGATGATATGGTATAAAATATAACATTTTATAAAAGTCTTTAATAAAGATTTCATTATGACTCAGTAGCTTCGAGGGAAAACCAAACACAATAATCCGTTATGACTCTGGCATCTTTGTTTTACTGGGTTATGGGCATCAGTCTGCTCATATGAGTATATTTCAAGGATATAATATTTCACCTGCAGTGACTCAGTGATTACTCAGCTGGAGCTTCAGGGCTCCTGCTTCCACCTACACTTAGATCATGGCTTTAACTTTTTTAATCATTTCAGTGGATATTGTAGTTATGTAATTCTGCAAAAGCAAACTTTTTTTGTTGCGTTCAAATTCTGGATTGCTTTGTCCTCCCAAAATACCGATCTGTGTCCAGCCTGTATTTTATACCCGCTTTTGTAGAACGTTGGTACTCTTTGATGGAAGGTAGGTTGCATCTGTTGTTTGTGCTCCTTCTTCTACCACATATTTTCCTTCCACTCAACTCTCTATTAACAACCTCGCGTAAACTACTGTAAGCAATTTACACCTTGTGTATTTAGTGAACAGCTCTCGCCATTATTGTGTCGGCTATAGCATAACAACTCTGCATGATTAATCTCATCCTAATGTCTCTTAGAGAAGACATTCAGAGAAACCAAATTTAAACATATCATCAGCTGCATCCCACAATTATTTATCAAAAATAAATTTTATATATACATATAAATATATACACACATATATACTACCCTGTAAATGGCACGTTTAATTTCTCAGCTTCAGCTTTTGATCTTTAACTGAAGCAAAA